CTGAAGAAAGGTCTAGGCCCGAAACGTCAGCCTTCCTGCTCCTCTGATGCTGCTTGACCTGCTGTGTTCATCCAGCTCTGCACCTTGTTATCTCAGATTCTCCAGCATCTGCAGTTCCTGCTATCTCCTTATCAGGTACTTGATTTGATTGATTTATCATCACATGTATCTTAGAAAATACAGTGAAAAATGTTGTATAGTGGCGCCAACATTAAAAAATAAACTAAGACATAGAATATAAAAGCAGAAAAACAAATGAAAACGTGTTCCAAGCCCCAGGTTATTCAGTTCCCTGAGAATCCGTCTCACCTTTGTTCGCAGGCAAAAGGCTTTTGTCATTGATAACTGGTCACCAGTCCATAGAAAAAGCAACTTCCTGTTGTCACTCAGTTGTATCTGTACACAACCCCTTGGGTCCAATTTGTTACAATCCAAACTTCAATTACTGCTTATTCAAATTGTAGTTTACAGGATGCTTGCCCTGAGTGTTAGATTACTTGCTTTTCCAAACATGTGGCAATCTTTAAACAGTGATTTTAAAATAGTTCTTTCTCATTCTTCACAAGTATAAAAACTACAAAAATAAAAAGACACCAGTCTTTACACCAAACAAAATAATTTGAGTTTGCTCCTATTTTACATTTGCTTCTTATTTAAATAATCTTAACTGGGTAGCAGCAAGAGTCGAAAAGAACAGTGTTCTCATAATAGGGAAGGAAAAGGTAAATGAAATCAGCCCATGCTTCTACGCTGATAGCTCATGCTGCACTTTCCAAATGTGGATTCAGGCTACAGTAGTCAAGACACAAATATCTTTCAATACACTCTGTGGCTCCCAGCATGATAATTATGTGTGATTCTTTGTGGAAATGAAATGCTTGTGATAAATTTCCAAACCCTGTATATTCAGCAACTGCAGTGTTCATTGAATAAAGCTTAAACATACTGTCCTTTCTAAACACATCAAGGACTTGGCTACAAGATTTATTACCACTGCTGGGGAACACAAGGTGGAAGCTGGCATGAGTTTTGACATCTGAATAAGCCAACTGGGATGGACAGAAAGTAGATACACTCTTTTGAGAATCGACATTTAAATACAAACAATCAGTCATAATACAAATTCTTTTGATACCACATACAAACTAAAGTGTTAACATTTTTATAGAAATTTAAAATTGCCAAGGAAATATATAAATTGCACAGAGCAAGTACTCAATGGGATTTGGAACACAGCTATACAGTCACAGTAAAATATGTGAAGTCACATAATCAGGACTTGCAGTTCTAGAAGAAGAAGTTAAATCAATTATGTGGATTCTATGAAGGTTTGGTGACAAATATCCTAATGGGAAACGCTGTCCCTGGATAGCCTATCTGATATGGGAAAGCAGACACACTTGGTAGCTTGCATCAATCTGTTTGAAAGAAACAACAATTATCACTACATTAAATCACTGTCAGATGTCCACATAAGAAAGGAGAAGCTGCTCACCGTGTGAAGCATGCAGTACTGGAGCATAGTCTCCTAGTAAGTGGCTGCATTTTAGCTATTAGTACAATAGGCTGTACAGGACATTGGTTAGGCCACTTTTGGAATATTGCATTTAATTCTGGTCTCCTTGCTAAAAACTTGAAAGGGTTCAGAAAAGATTTATAAGCATGTTGCCAGGGTTGGAGGGTTTGAGCTATAGGGAGAGGCTGAACAGGCTGGGGCTGTTTTCCCTGGAGCATCAGAGGCCGAGGGGTGACCTTTATAGAGGTTTATAAAGTCGTGAGGGGCATGGATAGGGTGAATAGCCAAGGTCTTTTCCCCAGGGTAGGGGAGTCCAAAACTAGAGGGCATAGGTTTAAGGTGAGAGGGGCAAGATTTAAAAGGGACCTAAGGGGCAACTTTTTCACAGTGAGTGGTGCATGAGCTGCCAGTGGAAGTGGTGGAGGCTAGTACAATTAGAACATTTAAAAGGCATCTGGATGGGTATATGAATAGGAAGGGTTTAGAGGAATATAGGCCAAATGCTGGTGTACCACTCGATGCAGGTTTTCAACTGTTTATGCACATGCTGTAAGTCACCTAAGACCTGCTCGTTCCCATCAATGCATGCCAATTGTTATAGAGCCATAGAGCTGTACAGCATGCTAACAGACAGACTCTGCACTAAATTTGAAAAAGAAATCTGCACTAAATTTGAAAAAGAACATAGCAAAGAAGTATCAATAAATTTAATTAACTCAATAAAGTGATTAACTAAGTAGAAATGGCTGGGCAGGTGATGTGTTGCCGCTATATGATGTGGGAGCTGGCTGATCCCATTGCGAATGGCGGTGACCATATCTGCAGCAAGTGTTGGTTGCTCGAGGAACTTCAGGTCAGCATTGAGCTGGAATCTGAGCTTCAAACACTGCGGTACCTGGTAGATTAAGTACTTCAAATTTGGTCAGTGCCCAGGGACAGCAGGGGGTAACTGCAAGTGAGGCAGGTAGATGGATCCTGCATTCAGGAACAGAAGAGTTTCAGCTCTTGACCTTGTCCAACAAGTATGACGTACTTGCTCCCTGTGGGGATGAGGAACGGGGCTGTAGGGAGGATGAGCCAACTGATCACTGCACCCTGGTACAGGAGGCCATTCAAGAGGGGGAAGCAAAAAGACAAGTGGTAGTTGTAGGGGATTCTATAATCGGGAATAGATAGTATCCTTTGTCAGCAGGATCAAGAGTCCCACATAGTGTGTTGCCTGCCTGGTGCCAGGGTAAGAGATATCTCTGACTGGTTTGAAAGGATATTGGAGAAGGGGTGGGGCGGGGGGAAGGATCCAGCTGTTGTGGTCCACATCTGAACAAACAACATAGGTAAGACAAGGAAAGGGGACCTGTTCAGGTATTATCAGGAGCTACGAACGAAATTAAAGAACAGGTCATTAAAGGTTATAATGTCCGGATTACTGCCCAAGCCACGTGCAAATTGTCATAGGGACACGAGAAAAGAGAAGTAAACACGTGGCTAAAAGAGTGGTGTGGAAATGAGGGGTTCCTTTACATGGGCACTTGCATCAGTATTGGAACAGGAGGGATCTGTACTGCTAGGGCGGTCTCCACCTGTCCCAAGCCCCATCTCCACAATGGTGCAGGCACCGCTGCAATTACTAGGACAGCCAGGAGACCGCTGCGGCCACCATGCGAAAGGCCCACTCTCAATCCCTTCTAGATCCAGCTCTCTCAAATATCTTTGAAGCATACTATGAGAGACATGTCCTTGATGGAAGGACAACTACCTTACTTCCCCTCATATTTCCAATATGCAGACAGGATATTTGCTACAATTGAATCTGCAGCTGCATGTAAAAAAAATTCCTTGCATGTTTTAAGATTCTCAGTCCTGTGTTCAAATTTACTTTACAAATGGAACAATCAATTGAGCTCTCTTTCCTCAATATTTTAGCTGAGAATTCAAAGGTATAGGTATGATCAGTATCTTGTTTAATGTGAACAAAACAATGCTGTTTGATGCAAACTGCCAGTCTTTGCGACATACGGCTTATTTTCCTCATTTCACATGAGGACTGAAATTCGTGTACCATGTTGTTCAGTTGTCTGATAGGCAGAATGACTTTTTAGCTCAGCAGCTTCCTATGAGTCGCAAACACCGCTTGTGTTGTTACTGCATGCTATCAGATGGTGGTGTAGTGAAACTAAGGAGTATCTTTGCATTCCTGCATAATCATTGAATACTGAGCATCTTAACAATATTTATTCAGTTGTGAGACAACGACCTCTTTATCAATATCTCTTGCTGAGGACGACATTAGGGACTGTAATAGATGTTAGGTGTCACCAAATAATTTGTATTTGCCACATTTATGGTACCATCTATTTTAGACGCCTTAGTAATTGAGACAATAACAAAACAAATATCTGTTAAATATTAATTTGTATTTTAACATTGAATTGTTTTTAAAGTGTGTTTTCATATTTGCTAAATAGATGGGACTGAACCATCTCATATGCACTATGAAAATGATGAAAATTACTTCAGAGGATATGAGTGGTGGCTGATGAAAGAAGCTAAGAAGAGGAATCCTAATATTAAATTAATAGGTATGTATTTAACATAACACCTTGTCAATTGTTTAATCATTTTGCTTCTCAAATTGCAGTCGGGATTATTGCCTGACAAATCTGATTTTCTTTGGTCTGAAGGAAGAATGTTGGCTAAGGAATGTAGGACTGTTTGCTCCTTTCAAACTAACGGTGTGCATTTTTTAACATGCACCTGAACAGACAGGGTCATGATTGACTACTTTCTCTGAAGGACTTCACCTGCAACAATGTGCCACTCCTTTATACTATACTGAAGTGACCGCATAGATTATTTTCACCAAATGTAGGACTTGAACCTATGTCCATCCGACCCAAAGATTAGAGTGATGCCAAACTAAAAATTTTGTCGTTGAAGAGAAAAGTCTTTTTTTTCTAGCATGTTCTCAAATTATTTGACTCTTAAATTACAAAATATTAATATTCCATTTTCGCTTTTTTATATTTGTAACAAAGTCTCCAGGTTGGTTGCAGAAATGCTAAGTTTGCCAAAAAAAACTTTATCCCTATGATTGGCATTCAAACTGTATTGAAGGGTCTATCTCCATTCTGTTCAAGGAAATTAGACAAGATTTTCTGAAGTGTAAAGGGCATTTGGTAAAGAATTAAAAGAAAACTGGTCAATAAACTGAGAACTTGGAACTCAGAACTGAAAGGCAATAAAAATTCATTATTCATTAAATATAGAATGGAAATTACATCGTACTATATATAGATCTATGCATTGAGTAAATTTGAGTGGACATGAGACTAGTTTGAATACTTTCAGAATCAAAGGACATGGTCCCTTTAGTTCCCCAACCTTTAAATTTGATACAAAGATAAATCAAATCACTTTTTTGAGTTTGTTTTAATAATTCATGGGATGTGGGTATCACTGTCTAAGCCAGCATTTGTTTGCCCATTCCTAATTGTCCTGGAGAAGGTGCTAATGAGTTGTAACCTTGTACTGCTGCTGAGTGTAGGGATACCCACAGTGCTGTTAGTTCAATTCACATTTCGCATGCTATACACACGACCACTTGAGTGAGTGTTTGTTTGTTTGTTTGTTTCTAGGGAGCCTTTTGGTGAGTAGAGGGAATTATATTTTCTAATCATTCTTCAATCACAGGCATACACACAATTGGTGCTGAGGCATTGAATCACCAAAAAAACAGCAATCTCTTTGCTTCCATGCTTTTGGTTGAGTTCAACAATAGTGGAAGCGTGGATTTTGCAGTTTACCTTGGGACTCCCGAGTGAAGGGCGAGGCAGTGGGTTAAACTAGAGCTTTGGAAGTGTATTGCAACATATTCAAGAGAAACTCTAAAGCACAAACTCAACAAAATTGAATTTGAAAGACTTTTAATCTTGCTTTATTCATCAATTGCATTTTCTTAGTGAGTTTTTATTTTCTTGTTAGGGCTACCTTGGGCCTTTCCTGGTTGGATTGGCTGTGGAAACGACTGGCCTTATACCTGCCCAGACAAAACGGCCTATTATGTTGCCTCATGGATTCATGGTGCTAAATTGTATCATAATCTGGATATTGATTATGTTGGGGTTAGTACAGACATAATAAAACAAATAATATTTGATTTCTTTTGACCTGTATTATGAATGTTGTTGAAATCATAGCCTGATATGCTATGACATTATCTATATAATAATGAAACTTTCATTGTTTTCTCTACCCTTCAACAATGAATGACGAGCAGATAGGCTTCTTTGACTTTATAATGATGACCATGAAATCAGTTACCCTCTGCTACGTCTGTCCTTTTCATGAACCACTTGACCAAACTTCCTTTGTTGGGCAACCTTTGTCTAACACTGAACTCTCATCTTTGTTTATCTCTTACCTCCCCTCATGTCCTCCCTGAACTCAACTTGCCTATGAAACCCCTTACCTGTTCCCATTAAGGTGACTTCCTCCAATCAGGTTTCTGTTCTTGTTACAGTACTAAAACAGATCTTATGAAAGCCACAAATTGTACCTTTTGTGACTGTTAGAAAAGTTGTTTCCCTCATTGTTCTTCTCAACCTGCCTGCAACCTTTGCCATATTTGATCTTACTATTCTTTGTCAAAGCCTCTATACTGTTGTCAGCTGGGTGAAATTCTTTTCACCTAGCTTCATTCTTGTCCATCTAATTGTAATAAGAGAGTTACTTGCACTGGATTCTCAATCTCCTTCCAAACCAGTACCTCTGGTAACTCCAAGTGACCTGTCCTGAATCTGTGTCTCAATAATCTCATCTGAAAGCACAGCATTAGTTTGCACATATGTGCTGACAACATCTAGCTTTAACTCACTACAACTGCTCGTAATTCTCCCACTGTGTTGCTCAATTATCAGACCACTTATCTCATATCCAGTACTGGATGAACAGAAATTCTTCCCAAGATTGAAGCTATTGTCTTTGGTCCCTGTTCCAGACTCCATTATTTAAATACCAAATCCGTTCCTGTCCAGAGCAAAAGCCTGAGATTAAGTCAATCTCTTAGCATCCTTGATGTCATATTTGAACCTGTGATGAACGTCCATTCTTGTATTCTTGCCATCATTACTACGGACTATTTCCACCTCTGATATCATCCAACTTTACTCCTGTCTCAGCTAGTCTGATACTGAAATTCCTATTCATACCTTTGTTATCTCTGTATTTGCACCCCTTGCTGGTTTCCTACATTCCTCAGTAAACTTGAGCTTATCTAAAACCCTGCACCACATCCCAATCACCCTTGTGCATTTGACCTACATTGGCTCCTGCTGATCATTCTTTTTAAATCCCTCCCCAGGCCACCCCCTCTCTCTTTCTGTTGTTTCCCGTTGCACCATAACCCTCCAAACTATTTGCACTGTTCTGATTCTTACGCATCCCTGATTTTAGTAGCTCTACCATTGTTGGCCATATGTTCAGTTTCCTAGGCCCTAGTCCCTGAATTACCGTCCCTGTGCACCTCCACATCTCTATTTCAGCCTCCTCCTTTGAGATTTCTTAAAATCAACTTCTTTGATCAAATCTTTACTCAATTGTCTAATAGTTCTTTGTATTACATGATGCCATACTTTGTTTCACAATATTCCTGTGACAAGCCTTGGTGTTTTATTTCATGATACATCATATAGTTTTCATTCAATTCAAAGTTCACATTTAAATCAGTCAAATAGATACAAGATATTGTAATGAATCGTTGAACCTACTTTTTAGATACTAATCTAAAAATCTGTTTTTGGGGATTTCTTTCAGATTCAGCAGAATAAGGTTGGAGGAGGGCATTATTGGAGACAAAAAAGAACTTAACACAAATTCAGGGGCAAAAAACAGCAGATTTTATTTGGCATATCATTAAAGTGAAAGGACATAAAAAGATACAATTAATGATAACCCAAATTATTAACACAGTTATAGACCCTTTTCATTAGTTCAGAACTCAGACATCACCTTTCACATTTTGTCAGAGGACTGTTATAATTTGAAAAGGATGATAGATTCATAATTCCAGGAGAACTTTCAAAATTCAATTGGACATTTATTTTGAAGGGAACTAATTTGCAGAGTATTGGGAAATCACTGGGGTGAGGAACTAAGTAAGTCAGTTCTTTCAAAGAATAAGCGCACACAGTCTCCTCCTGTGCTGCACATTTCTAAGATGCCTGTAATCCTGTGATTTGCAGAAAACTTGTCTTTCCTTTCCTATTTATTCCCTTTCCAAACAAAAAGGCTCAATTGATTGTTATCCATCGGTTGCCTTTGCATTTATTCCACAGTATCAAGCTCATTGCCTGCTCTTTGTGATGAATAAACAGGGAGTACATTGATATCAGGGAAAGAAGTTAATATCTGAATATGAAAGATATGTTTGTTCTGTCACTGAGAGTTGAAAGATAAATGAATATCAAACAACGTAAACATCCATTCTTCCACCGAGAAAGTCAGACACAGTCCCTGGTAGGGACAGAGGTACAAATAGTTGTAGAATGCGAAGCAATATAAATCATGACCGGTGTGCTCTCCTAGACTAGTTTTGATCACGTAAAGGGCAGAAAAATTTTCCTGTTTGTTTGTTTGTGTCCATAAATTTACCTTGGATGTCTTATCTTTTCGTGACCATTTCGTGGCTGCTGGTGATTTTGGTTTCAGAAGGGTGCTGTAGCATGGTGCTTAAGACATCACTATTGTAAAGGAGGATTGATGGACCAGCTCATCATTTCCTAACCATTCTTTCCATAATAACATATGTTCAAATTGGTCGAGGACAATATTCCAATATGTCAGAAATTTTGGTTTTTTTTTAAACTTTTGCTCCTCCCACACTCATTATTCACCTAACCTATCAATCAATTGAGCTCTTTTGTTTGTCCTTCCCCCTTCATACAAGTCTTTGGCAAATCACAGGATTACAGGCCTGATTATAAAGTAACCTTGGACTCTGAGTAGCACCCAGAAATCTGTAACTTAAGTATTGTTATTGCATATGGAACCACCCCTCCTGAGGGCCATTGGCAATATCTGGAAGTGTTTATAAAGAGAATGTAAGATGCTAGTAGGGACTGTTGTGGTGCGGTGGTAATGTACCTACCTCTGAACCAGGAGACCTGGGTTAACATCCCACCTGCTCCAGAAGTGTATAATAATATACTTGAAAAGATTGACTAGAAAATATCTGAGAGGATACTGTTGGGGTGTAGCATGATTTATGAAGGAATCAACTAAAATTATGAGATAAATGATACATTAAGTGACTCATTAAATAGGGCCATATGGGTTAAGCACTTTGCTAGGAGAAGATGGGAAAAAAAAAAGCAAATATGATTGTTAATTTCTGTGTGTGATTTTAAAAAATGGCAGTAGTAATTGGAGACTTCAACTGCTTTTGTATCAGTTGGGATATGAATAGTGTGACAGGCACAGAGGTTACAAAATTCTTGTACTACATTCAAGAGAACAGCAAGCATTCAACAACATGGGATACAATTCTAGGTTCAACTTTAGGAAATGTAGCAGTGGATTGTCAGTTTGGAAGTAGTGACTATAATGCAGTTTGATTTAGTTTCTTTATGGTAAGGGACAAAGATGGAAATGAGTAAAAAGTTCCAAGTTTGTGAAGAGACGCATATTTTACAAAGCTGAAAGGTGATCCGGCGAAGGCGAACTGCATGCAACTACTTGAAGAAAAGCCAGTGACAAATAAGTGGGAGGCACTCAAAGCAAGATTCTGTGGGCAGAATGTAAGACATCCCCACAGAGGAAAAAGAGTAGTACTGCCAAATCTAGAGCCTCCTGTTCATCCAGGATAGGTTAAAGTTTTATTCTTTTTTTTAAGAAAAGGCCTACACAGTCACAAAAACTTAATTAAGAATAGACAATAAATGCTGGCATGCCCAAACGATGACAATATCCCATGAATGTTTTTTTTAGAAAAAAGTACAGGGGTTAAGTAAAATAGGAAAGCGGGTGTAAAAAGATAATGGCAGGTAAAGTCAGAGAAAACCCAAAAATGTTCTAATCAGTACATTCAGAGCAAGATGGTAACTAAGGAAGAGTAGGGCCTAATCAGAGATGTATATGGTAACTTGTGCGGGGATACCAGTGATATGATCAAGGTTCTTCATGAGTACGTCATCCTTTGTGAAGATGACAGAGCAAGGATGTTGCAGACATTCAAGTTAAAGTGGAGGAATGTGAAATAGTAAATATGATAAGCATGATGCAAGAGGAAGTACTGGAGGAATTGACCACCTTGAAGATGAATAAATCACCAGGGCAAGATGGATTGTATCCTAGTCTGGTAAAAGATGCCAGGGAGTACAAGGAGGATGCTCGGAGTATCATTATCTAATTGTTGCTAGATGTAGGCAAGGTACTAGAGGATTGGAGGTCTGCAAACGTTGTACCTTTGTTTAGAAAAAGTGCAAGGAGCAAGTCACACACAATTATAGGCAAATTATTAGAATCAATTCTGAGAGAGAGGATAAATTGTCTGGTAGAAAGACCTGGATTAATCAGGAACAGTTAGAATGGTTTTGTTAAGAAAGGTCGTGCTTTACAAACTGTGAATTTTCTGACGAGGGAGTATGGAGAATTGATTGTGATTGGGAAGCGGTGCACTGATTTTTGCCTGCATAGATGATAGTAAGGCATTTGGAACTGTATAAAATGCTGGTTAGGTCACCACTGGAATTTTGTGTGCAGTTCTGGTCACTGCTTTGCAGGAAGAACATAATTACTCTGGAGAGGATACAGCAGAGATTTTCAAATATGCAGCTATGGGGGAAAGATTGAAGAGGCTAGAGTTATTTCCTTAAAACAGAGGGCTGATAGGTGACTTGATTGAAATTTACAAAGTTTATGAGGGGCCTAGATAGTGCAGATTGGAAAGATTTGTTTTCCATAGCAACAAGGTCAATTATGAGGGATGCAGATTTATGCTGTTTCGAAAAAGAATTAGAAGTGACATGAGAAAAACTTTTTCACCAGAGGGTGCGGTGGAATGCACGACCAGGTTGGTTAGTTGGTAAAGGCAGAAACCCTTAATTCATTTAAAAGATTCCTTTGGATTTGCACCTGAAGTGTGGTAACCTGCAAGGCTGTGGATCATGTGCTGAGAAGTGGATTAGAAGTGCTGACATGATGGGCTGATTTACCTTTTTTCTGTGTTGTAAAATTTCTTTGGTTCCAAAGGATGTGGAAACACCTGATTAATGAGCTAAATTTAACATGGGAGTGGAGGGTCAAATAACAGCCTCTGATGCTGTAGCTTTTGTGATTCTATATGTATGTCTTGGAGTATACTTGCACTGCAGGCAAACTTATGAGGCAGAGAGATTGCCTGATTTATTAGAGACTGTCCTTGATCTTGGAAGTACACTGCTTCCTGGTCTGAACGTCAATCAGCAAAAGTAATTTTATTTTAACAATTCTCCTTGGGACAATGCTGTCTTTGCACATTTTCCTATAAACCTGCAAATGCAGCAAAGCTGCTTCTGAATTCTGGAATTTTAAAAAAAGATTACCAATTTTAGTTTGGCATGCAGGATATAGCTAAATCATTGCGTCTGGTTTTGGGTACTATTCTTAACAATTGGTGGTAAAGTTGTTGCTGCTTCATAGACTTAGCATCACATTGCTTTTGAGAACAAAGTATTTTGACTTTAAAAATATCCGTAGATAAAAATGGAATTTAATTGCATTTCTGTTTTAGATTTGGAATGAGAGAGCATTTGACACAAAGTACATCGAGGTAAGTGTAGAATAATTTTTGATGCTAAACTTTTAATTATTTTCACCTTTGATTTTATGCGTAGTACGTTGTTTTAAAACCTAATGCAAAGTATAAAATGAACTTCACAAGGACACATTTCTCTGTATGCTGACCATCTGTGTGAGATTTACCTAATACATATATTGTGAATATCTTGTCCTGGAAAGATCTTTTTTTAAATTGTAGCATTTAGGCTGAATAAACAATAAAATAAACAGTTAATTTAATTCTCATTATGTAAAATGTAATTGGTTTTGAAATTGTGTGGTCCAACATTGTCATTCGCTATAATAAAATTGTAACTAAAACTAGCTACAGTAACATTTCTGTTTTGTGGTAAAGGAGCACTGCTGCTATTGCGCTATTTTGTCCATTGGATTAAAACATTTTCTTTGTAGAACTTGTAGAAAAGCACATTCATTCCATGAATTTGAAGTAACAGGTTAAAATATCTCTCAGAATTTGCTTCTTTGTTCCAAAAGTAAGGAATTTTCAATACAGTGGCCATTCGTGTTAGGAGAGGCATTGTGTTTCTGTGACCTAGTAAGGTTTTAATTTTGGCAAATTTTAACTTTTGAATAATCAGAGGAATGTGCAGTCTTTAACAAATGATCGTCATTGCCTTTATACTAAAGTAGTCAGCTCATTTTTTCAACCTTTGTGATAATATGGCAAAAGATACAAGTTGCTATTTTTGCTGCGAAACTTCGGTGAACTATTACGTGTTTTTGAGAGGGCATGAATATGATATGTAACTAACTGTTAAATCTTCATTCATCAAGTAGTCAATGAAGACTGATGGCAACTTATTGTTATTTGTTTTGACCGTTGCTTTCAGAAAAAGTGAAATTTCAGTTAAGGTTTGTCTGTTGGGTAACTGTACCATGTCTGATTAAGTCAGAATAAGTTGGACCATTTCAGTTCCTTAAGTAATGGGTATTATAGTTATAAAAGGAAGTGACTTTTAGTTTTGTGCTTTTTTTGGAATTATATTCCAATCGGTTGTATAATTATTTGATATTGGTTTGGCTTTGTGACATAACAAAGAAACACTAATTAGATTTAGAATCAGCTGCCATTTTATGTTTTGTAAACATATACCTCAGTTCACCATGCTTAATTAAAGCCATTTTTCTTAACTATGCTGCCATTTTTTGAACTTGGTAATGTTTACAAATGGTGTTCTGCATCACAAGTAACTTCCAAAACCGTTGTGCAGGTAACAAAATATTCCTGATGAATCCATGATGCCATATTACTATGCTACATTTTTCAAAAGGCACTGACTGAAAAGCAATGCGCTGCCAATAACTTTTTTTCTTCTGTGAAAATCTTGCCCGTACAACACCTCTGTGATCCTGCTCATGAGCACTTTAATGAATCATGTCTTATTACAGTGGACACTTTCAAAGTATTTGATAGGATATTTCTAAACAATTTACCTTCATGCAGCTTCTCAGTCAAGCTGTGTTCTTAGCTACTTTATTTCCTCTTAACTGTTGCACGGTGATGGTTCAGTGTTGAACTTTTCCGCATGAATGTAATGTAGATGTAGCCCAGTGCTGTTGGGCAGCAAGTTACAGGATTTTGACCCAGCAATACTGAAGGAACAGCAATATATTTTCAAGTTTATGCTTGTCTTTCTAGAAGTTAGTGGGCCACACGTTATCAATGGTACGGTTGAGGGAGCCTTAGTAAATGTGCATTGCAGCAATGTTGCACTGGAAATGGAGGGGGAGAGTTTAGGTGGTGGGTGATCAGTCTATGTGCTGATCAGTCAAACCGCCCTGTCTTGGATGGTGTCACACCTCTTGAATGTTGGAGGTGCACTTATTCTGGCAAGAACAGTATTCTGTCACACTCTGGACTTGAGCTTTGTAGGTGAGGGAAAGACTTTGGGGAGACGGAAAATGAGTGACAGTTAATTTTCTGGTCAGTGGTGACCGTAAAGATTTTGCTGGTGGGTGTTTTGAAAGGCTAATGATTGTGGTGGTGAGATTTTTTTCTCTTGAAGATGACTGTTGTTTTGTCCCTGAATAGACAGCAACAATCCAATGAATTGCACTTAGTTTTATTAGTTTTATTTATAATTTATTAGGAACATCCCCACTTCTAACTTTGATAAGGAGGAATTTCTTCTGAGGGTGAGAATCTTTGGAACTCCTTGCTACAGAGAGCTGTGTGGGCAGAGTTCATTGCATATTAAAGGCTGAGATATATTCTTGATCAGTAGGGGAATCGAGGATTAGGAGGAAAAATCAGGAAAATAGATGTTGAAACAGCTATGATCCTATTGAATGGTGGAGCAGGCTCAAAGAGTTGAATGGCCTACTCCTGTTCTTATTTCTTATGGAAGGAAAGTAATGATAAAATGATGGAAATAATTGGGCCTAGGGGTCACAATTACAGAACTTCTGCAATGGTATCAAGGGGCTTGAATGATCGACCTCCAACAATCACAACCATTTCCCTTTGTTCGTGATAATTCTGGTCAGTGGAACATTTTCTGCAGATTCCCAGTAATCTCAATTATACTTTAGCTCCTTGATGCTGCATTTGATCAAACGCTGCCTTCACGTTAAGTCACTCTACACTCCAAATAGTTACCTTACCTTTGGAATTTAGTTCTTTTGTATATGTTTGGGATAAGGAAGTCAAGAGAAAAGTGTTCCTGGTAGAATCCAACTTATCAGTGAGTAAGTGTCACATTATAGCAACTTTCATCACTCTGAGAATAGTCTGGGAGGTTATTGACCAAACCCCACACTTGATCAGTTTTTTTCCATTTTGTTGGCTAGAGGCCTGTATTAAAATTTTGCTGTAATAGTGGTTCAAAGAGTTCTGGAGCAAGTCTTCAGCACAACAGCTGGATTGCCATAGCCTTTGTTGTAATGCATTTACTATCTTGAAGTTTTTTGTTTAATCTAGCAACTCTTCTGGCCTTGAAATCTTCCCTTGATTGTAAAGCCTGTCTCCACTCTTAAAGGCTACCCCATGCCAAACTTTGGGTCTGTTATTCCTCCTAACTCTTGACTCTATTTTTTAATAAATGTAGAAGTCTTGAACAAGGCTGTCATGTGTGTGGAGACTCTTCCAAATCCTCTGTGTTACTGCAAAACGCAAGGAAAAATCTTGTCTAATCGATGATTAATGCTGCTGTTGTCTCTGGCTTCTATTGTATATCCACAGTATCTTTCCTTTTCTTAGTTTTACTCTTTAATTATTTTCAAGTTTCTTTCATTCGCTTGAAGGTGTCAAATTACTGTGCCAAACCTGTCCATGCAACCTCATCACAATGGATTGAGCATTCGTTGCAGTTTATTTGTTCAACTCTGACATCTTTCAGGTTTGAGACTCCTTACCTCTCTCTCTATTGCTTCCTCCTCTAATCTTCAGCCTTTTGGGCCCCAGGTGGCGTTTTGTTGGTATTTCCTAACATTTGCTTTTACTTTTATAATCTGTGGTGGTGCCCTCTCTTGGTTCTTTACTCAATCGTTTAAACAGAAAGCAAAGTTAGTACAGTATTAAGTGGCGTTGAGGCTATTTTCTCATACACAGAGATCAACAGAGAGTATTTGTTTCATCAGTTTGTAAAGAAATGTTCTTCCAGAACCCAGTGCTTCTCCTTAACCACTCAACATGTTTTCTACAGATGCTGTAGAAAGTGAAGTGGACACTTTATCAAAAATAGCTTTGTAATCTAATTATAACTACATTTTAAGAACTGTTAATATGAACCACAGAAAATCATCAGTAGACAACAAAGGGAGATCACTATGCTTTATGCAGTTAACTGGATTGATCTTGGTTCTGGTACTAACAGTTTGTGAATTTGCAGCGTAGATATTTAGTACATTTCTATATATAGTCCAGTGATTTTTGTTTTTATCTGTTGCCAAGGTGCTGCGCAAGTCTCTGGATAAAGTTGGTTTAAAGAATGTTGGTATTATTGCTGCTGATGGAACTTGGGGGATCGCAAGTGATATGTTAGTTGATCCATACCTAAATGATGCAGTTGAAATTATAGGGTAAGTTTTTAGGGCTAAATCGTGTAAGAATTTTCAACCCATGTTATTTATCTTTTTTGTGTCCTGGGGTCCAATTTTGTTTCAAATGTAGGATGCTAATGAAAGCCTGTTTGGATTGACTGCATTCATTACGATTGCTCTGTTCTATTCCAATAGTAAAAAAAAAAGTATTCCTGTTTGTTTATTAATGAATGAAAGGAATGGAGATTAAACAAAAATATTGACCATGGATCAAAAATGAAATATTGAATATTAAAGGAGTGTCTTCAAGAATATATTTTGAATTGTTCTGTGCTTGCCTGGCTCCAAGGCGTATACAGAAATAAAATATAGTTAGCCGAGTTTGGCTCCTTTCCAAATCGGCTAAAGTTTCTGACATGGATGTGAATTTTTTCTGCCTTTTTAACTATCCTTTTGATGCCTGTCAAAAGGAATCTGACTACCGATTGCTCAGAATCCACAAAAGAAAACCTATTTTGAAAACTCTGATTTTTTTTTTTAAAAATTTGTTCATGGGATGTGGGCGTCGCTGGCTAGGCTAGCATTTATTGACCTTTTTTCCTAATTATACAGAGGGCATTTAAGAGTCAACCACATACTATGGGTCTGGAGTCACACATAGGCCATACATGGTAAAGTGACAGATTTCCTTCCCTAAAGGACGTTGGTGAACCAGATGAGTCTTTACAACAATCGATAGTGGTTACATGGTCACCCTTTATTCCAGATGTTTTTATTGAATTGAAATTCCACTATCTGCCATGGTGAGATTGAAATCTATGTCCCAGATCATTAACTCACTATTTCACCATATCTCCTTTGAAATCCAATCCTCTGAATTCTTCTATTGACCGCTTACAGGGAGCCAATAAATTAGATGGTTGTGTATTAGCTTGGCATGTAAAATGCTGTGTTTCAACCACTAGTGTCAAAATTATTATCTCTCTTCCT